CAGTTAATTTTTTTCAAAGCAAAGAACTTTATTAATAAAGTACAGTACCTGAAAAACTTTTCTATTTGCTAAGCCTGTTTTTTTGGTGGGGGGCGGGGGGAATTCAATGTGTTTTAGTGTTAGATTGTCTATTAGGAAAGTTTAATGAAATCCTTCTTTTCTTTTAATATTTAAAAGAAAATATTTCTGAGGCAGTTCTTACTTTCTTTAGGTATCTCTTGTGTTCACTGGGTGCTGATGACCAGAGTGGCATTCACACAGCATGGGAATATGCGATTCAAACACCAGGCCCATCCAGTCCTGCATTTTTTACTCAGTCATATGGGAAAGAAAGCTCCAGTAGGAGTAGAGTTGGAGCAAAGGAGACCTTCAATTGCCGTTTTTCAGAAAGATGCTGTTTCTCTTGGGAAAGGGCTTTTTGATTACAACATAAATATAGTGGTCTTGAGAAACAGTGATGCTCCTCTTATAAAGCTAATAAAGGCAATCTGATCTTACCCTTGCCCCAAAGTGAAATGGTAGAGGCAACAGCATCTTTGCAAACTACCCTGATATATTGAAAAGTTGGAAATATCATAGTTTTACAAATCAGGGCTAGCAAATTTATTTTCTTACTACAATCTTTGTCAGATACAGAATTTGCTATCATTCCAAATGCTGTATCTTTCGATTTTATAGTAGCCTGTGATCCATGATTATCTGTATCCTAGGAAATAACAGCTGTTTAAGATACCTATTGTAATCTGATAGTATCACTGTTTAATATCATTGATCATATGATGGCAGGGTATTGTTGGATTTATTGTATATAAATCATACATGTTGCAATATAAGTATTCCTTGAGCTTTCATACTAGGTTAGTTACACCAGTGGTTCCCAACCTTTTTGGTACCAGGGCCCAGTTTCGTGGAAGACAATTTCACTTGCTTGCCAACTGTTCACCTCCAGCTGTGCTGGCCAGTACCTAACAGACCATGGACAGGTACTGGTCTGTAGCTCAGGAGTTGGGGATCCCTGAGCTATACATTTGAATAAAGAACAGTATGAAAAAATGAATTTTATTTTAATTTGAAGTAGTATAGATGTTTTTGTCAATGATCCAGAATTAGTAAAATTGCTGAAGGTTTGGCAAGTAACCACCGTGTTTCTCACAAAATAAGGCCGGGCCTTATTTTTTTTTTGACCCCTGAAAAAACGGTTAGGCCGTCTTTTTGGGGGTGACTTAATTTCCTCCCCCACCTAGAGCAGCCCATACGCATGTACCTCGCTGCAAGGCCGCTTCTATCGGCTGCCGAAAGCTCCCCGAAGGCAGAGTCCCCAGCTGCTTCAGGGCGTGGCATGGCTGCCCGTGTCTCCTCGCCTTTAGGCAGTCTCTTTCGGGCGATGGAAGCTCCCCAAATGCAGTCACCAGCCACTT